CCTCTTTCCCAATTCTGCTTTTCTATGGAATCTGCCGTGGTAGCTGCAAGGGGGAGACCCAAGACTAAATGCTGAGCGCCAAGCTGCCTCTCATTAGGTTCATTAAGTTTCTAACAGAGCAGGGCTTGGTGCTGCCATCATATAAACAACCGCAGGGAGAGTTGGCACGTCTGAGGTGGCAGCAGAGAGTGAACACATCACCCGATGGGTTGCGACTTGTCGGGCGGGAGAGAGATTTCCTTCCTTGGGAATCACAGGTGCTGCCGCATGAGATGGCAGTGGTGGTCATGTGTTTGGGGTTTCTGATGAAAGCAGACTCCCTTTGCCAGAGATGCTCCCCCAGGATACGCAGGGGTAATAGGGAAACATCACTTGGATCCTAGAAGCTCCCCAGAGAGTAACAGAGCAGGGACCAGTTCTGTCACGTCTTCCCCCATGATGGAGTATGTTTGGGACCCATTTCTGTACTACACAAGGTCCAGGCGCTGGGATGAAGCATGCCACTTTGGCCTTTAGTGCCAGTATTTTAAAACGAAATATTATTTTTGTCATTCAAAATCTTGTTGTGAGGTGTTTCTTTTCAATACAGGCCGTTGATGTGCGGGGCTGGAGGTCCTGGTGGCAGCAAAGACTTTGTCACCCCAGGGTGGGAGCCACATGGCAGCTCACATGTGTGATGCCCTCTCCAGCAGCTGCATCCCTGGATAAAGGGGACAATTTGGGGCTGTTCCCAGCTGGGGTGGGTGGGTCAGTCCTGCATGTCACAGCTTCAGGTGGAGCTGTTGGTCCCTCTGCTTGTCACAGAAGGTGAGTGCTAGAGCAGGCAGAGTCCTTTTGCCTGCAAAGCCACATAGGGTCTGCAGACACCCCCTGGGTACGCTACAGCCCAGCACCATCCAGCGTGGGACAGAAGGCAACAGCAGTGAGCACTGAAATTGGGATTTGCTGGCAGGGTTGGCTGGGTCTTGCTTTCAGCAAATGAAACAGGTGGTGCTATAACTGAGACCTCTGCAGCCCAACCTGGGTGTCATAAAAGGTGTCTTCAGCTTCTCCGAGCCATCAGTATAATACTTACTGCCTCCGTTTTAATTCCCCTGCCTTCCGCTCAGCAGTTGGCAGAGAGAGGAAACCAGTATAATTTGCATGCTTTTATCAAGTTTTGAGGCAAAGCATTATTTTAGTCTTCTGCATTGATCTTTTGGCTGGTCCAGAAGAAATTCAGGTGGTCTCTAATCCTTTAAAGATTTCAGGCTCGACGTCTGCTTTTGGTGCTGCATTTGTTCTTTTGCTATGAATTATCTCATGTCATCATATTTAATTTTATCTCTGGTCCTGTAGAGTGTGTATTTCTCTCATGTTGGTATTGAAATGCAGGGTTTTATACTGCTGAATTTTCATGTATTTTTCCTCCAAATTAAATTTTTATCTCTGCTGTATAATTTTTTTCTACTACTTCACCAAAATAATGTAGAAGGGATAAAAATGAGGGGAAAAACAGCAGCTGTTCAGCTTCATACTTCACTACACAAACTTCTTATCCCAGAGCTCAGGAATTTAGGGACAAGGTAATGCTCAGCATAAGGAACCGAGAATGCCCTTGAACTCTTGTAAACGTTCATTTGTTCACCCAGAGCAAACAGAGAAGTGGTATCTCTGCAGCTCTATTGCTAAAGCAAGCAGGGGATCGTTGTAGAGCTCTGAAGAGCCCAGGTGCAATCCTGTGGGATCCTCCAGTGAGTGAGGATGCTCTGTGGGAGCCATGGCCGTTTGTGACTGGGCTGGGTGGTAGCAGAAGGTGAAGGGGAGGAAGATGTCTTGGAGGTGACAGGATTTCCTCTCCTTTCTGTGACTATGGGATAGATTTGCAAAGATTGACCAGTATGTGCTGATCTACGTGGCGTGAGCTGAATAAGTGTGTGTAAAAGTCCTCCTATCAGAGTGAAAACATCACTACTATAAGCATGTTTTTGAGAGGTTTGTCTGTATGTCTTTTTGTACCCTTTTAGACCAGGATATTCCTTTAGACCATGTGTACATGGGGAGGTAAGCAGGTGCATCCATCCCAAAGAGGAGTTTGGTGCTGGAAGAGCTTTCTGAGCTATGGCTCCAGAAAACCTTTCCCATACGTGGGTGGTGTGCGAAGCTGGTACTGGCTGGGGAGATCATGGTGGTGGCTCAACTTCCAGCCCATCAGTCCGAGGCTGTACCTCTGCATATGCCAGCCTGTTCTCCCTCAACTCCCTGCCACAGCAACTGGCATTTCTAGTCATTGAAGCCTCCAAAATAAACGTGTGATTTTTCATGCATCTTTTGTTAACCCCTGGTGTGTTTTTCCTGCAGCGTACATACCGAATGCCAAAGGATATCCATGTCGAACCAGAGAAGTTTGCTGCAGAACTGATCAATCGTTTGGAGGAAGTACAAAAGGAACGTGAAGCAGAGGAGAAATTAGAGGAGCGCCTTAAACGCGTTCGAGCGGTCAGTAACCTCCCTGCCTCCTCCACCAGCCTGGGAGTCTGTCTGTGTAACTTGTATCCCACAGGGAGCTTTCAGCTGCTTTGGAAGCAACCTGGGTTACCACTTCCCTGCTCCAGCAGCCACCATCCTCTCTGGCACGGGGACTCCTGGAGGCGCACGTTGCCCCATGAGCTTCCATGGTGCTGGTCCCTGGTCCATGCAGGGCTCTGAGCTCCCACACTCCCTCCCTGCTGTAAGAAACTGGCTATGGCACAGCACTGCCCACTTTTGTCACCAGATAGGGGCTGTAGGTGCTCTCCATCATCTTTTTTTGCACCCTTGCTCTGCTGTCCTTTGCAGACTTTGTGAGCAGCCCCTTCTGTGCAAAGATGGGAACTGTGTTACAGGGCTTCACCTTCCCCTTGTGGGGTTTGTGTGATCCATATTTCCCCCACGAATGGTAAGCAGGTGATGGTACGCTTAGAGGTGTTTGTGTGTGCTATCAGACCGTCCCTACCAAACCCAAAAGGGTTCTGCCCATCAGTGCCTAGCACATCCCTAGAAAATTTGGAACTGATCAGGTGTAGCATCCAAACATCCTCCTGGGCAGAGAAACACACTGACTGGGGAAACCCAGGCCATGTGAGCCCTGGTACCACTGGGGCCCTTCGAAGCTCAAGGTCTTGGCAGATGAACCAAGGGAAGCATGCAAGGCCTTTAACACCACAACAGGCTCCAAGAGGGAGAGAATGAGGTATTGATTGTCTGGTATTACCT